GCTTCGAGGCAATGATGCTAACCACTGATCCACCTTGTAGCCCATGCATAAACATTTTATATAATAATAATAACAATAACAATAATAATAACAACAATAATAATAAAATAATAATAAACTTTATTTTTAGAGCATGTTTCAAAACAAATGTTACAAAGTGCTTTTTAATAAATTCTAAATTAAAATACAATAAACGTAGAGAATCATTGATAAAAGCAGAAAGCACACACATAAAGCAAGAAGCTAAAAAACCTAAAACTTAAATAAAATCAGGAAAAGCTCTCTGATAGAAGTGTGTTTTAAGAAGTGAGAGTATAGCGGTTGTGTGCTCTCTTCTGCGTTGTGAAATATTAAAAACCCAGACCTCGTGTCTTTTAGTTCCAACCAGCCGTTTATTTTTCCAACTTCTGGACTTGACATACATGGACATGGGACACACAGCAGACTGGCAGAAAAAGTCACGCGGGGCTCACCCCTCAAGTCTGCAGGGGCCCGGCAGCGGGCGTCAACATTACCTCCCGTCCCAGTGGGGAACCCAATACATTGCAACATTACAAATAGAGACAACCAATTGCATCATAAAAAGAGATGGCAAGTGGAATCTCTAACTCCGCTACAAGAGCACGGAATCAGCCGACCTGATTTTCTCGGACAGGTCATTCCACAGCCTCGACTGAAAATGCTTTGTGCCCCTTTGTTTTCAGCCGGGCCTCTGGGTCAGTTGAAAGACCTTTACCCGAGGATCATAAGGAGCGTGGTGGAGAATAAGGTGTTAAAAGGTTGGCAATGTAAATAGGACAGAGACCACTAAGTGCGTTAAAAGCGACTAATAAAATCTTAAAATCAATCCTAAAACGTACTGGCAGCCAACGTAAAAGAGCTAGAACAAGTGTGATGAGCTCACGTTTCCTCTTCCTGTTTCAAACCCTGGCAGCAGAGTTCTGCACCGTCTGTAGTCTGTCCAGGGATTTATGATTAAGACTCATAATGCAGTAATCCAGCTGTGAGGAAATAAAAGCATGTAAAACCATCTCTGTATATTTAAAAGTTAATAAGAATTTTTGAAATATTTCTAAGATGATAAAAACATGACTGTGAAAGTTTTGTGGTGTGTTTTTCAAAGTTCAAGTTGAAATCAAACCAGATGCCGAGATTCCTTGCAGCAGGCTTCAGGTTTTCCACTCGCGGGCCAGCAGATGGCAGAATTTGTTTTGCCATCTGCTGGGACCCGATTACCAAGATTTCCATTTTACTGTCGTTCAGCTGAAGGAAGTTCTCTGACATCCAGTCATTTAAAGCATTCAACTTCCCTGGGTCAGTGGCCTTAACGGGCAGGTACAGCTGCGTGTCGTCAGCATAAAATAAAACAAACCCCTGAGGCACACCGTACTTCACTGGATAAAATGACGACATGTGATTGTTTGCTGCAACACAAAACCTT